TGAGGTTCTGGGGAACACAGACACATATGAGGAACTGGATTATCTGGCATCAGGGCAGAAAAATCAGGGGTGGATTTCTCCCAGACAGAGGTGCTTGCAGGGATCATTGCTCCTGTTCTGGGACCTCCCTGGTCTCAGGGCTGACTGGCAGGCATTTCTGTTTGTTCCGCCCTGGTGATTCCCTGAGACCCTGCCCCATCCAATTTGCAGCCCCACCCAACCTGTGTGCAGAGGTTTTTGCATACGAATTGCCTGTCCTTGCTCAGGGTAAAACAAGCTGCAGCTGGATTAGGGAGCCCCAGTCTTATCAATAAAAGGCCCAAGACCCAGCACCAGCACCAGCCTGCCTTGTTTCAAAGCTGAGCCTCATCTGGGTACTTCCAAACCCAATACAAAGAGGAGGAATCTGCAGATCTCTCTGTACCTCCTGCTGGGTGGCCCCAGGCAGTGGCTGACTTTGTAGCTCCCTGGAGACCCAAGAGCCAGTGTACCCAGTGGTCAGTGTCAGACCATACCAGGGGCAGAGTCAGTGAACACCAAAGCCCCACAGAAACAAGTACTGACTCCTAGAGGTGTCTCCTGCACAGCAGCTCTCCCACTGCAGTAGCAGCTGATCCCCACAGCAAATTGGCCTGGAGGTCCATTCCTCCCAGTGACACCAACAGCAATCAAGGTTCAACTACAACAAGACTGTACTCACAGCCCACAAAGGGGTGCACCTAGAGCTCCCAGTTCAGGTGACTGGGGAGGCTGAGCCATTGGGTCATATAAGACACCTTTTACACAAGGCCACTATACCAACTCAAGGAGTCATAGCAGCTCTACTGAATACACAGAAATAAACACAGGGAAGCAGCCAAAATGTAGAGATAGGGAGGCATATCACAAATGAAAGAAATGGAAGAGAGCAGACTACTGGATATAGAGTTCAAAATCATGGTTATAAGGTTACTCAAGAATCTTCCAGAAACCTCCAATGGATTTAGTGAGACTTTCATAGATCTTAGTGAGAATGCCAAAATAATGGAAAAGGACCAGTCAGAAATAAAGCATACACTGACTGAAATGAAGAATAATGTACAGGGATTGAACAGTAGAGTAGAGGATTCCAAGAATCAAATCAATGATTTGAAATATGAGGAAGCAAAAAACACCCAACCAGAAGAGAAAAAAAAAAATCCAAATATATGAAGATAGTGTAAGTAGTCTCTGGGACAACTTCAAGTGTACCAACATCTGAATTATGGGGGTGCCAGAAGAAAAGAGAGAGCAAGATATTGAAAACCTATCTATATAATAGATGAATATGCAAATTAGACTGGACGCTGTAACATCACAACCAAACAGCAGGGACCTGAGGCTGTATGGTGCCTGGACAGGACGAAAGACCTCAGGCCATGCCTCCCGCCCCACGGGGCTTAACAGGATGCACCCCCAGCCGTGGCACCAGGCCTGGAGACCTCAGGCTGTGCCCCCAGCTTGGCGGGGCTTGATGGGCAACCTCAGGCCATGCCCCCCTTACCCCAGTGCCAGGTCAGAGGACCTGAGGCTGCGCCCCCCACCCCCTGCCCAGTGGGGCTTGATGGGGGACCTGAGACTGCACCTCCCCACCCAGAGAGGCTTGACAGGGGTGGGGCCGGCTGGGTCTGGGTCTCCTGGGTTTTTGAAGCATCTGCAGGTGGTAGGCGGGGACTTGACTCTAGGTCCCGTGGCGTACCCCAGACTCTGACAGGATGGAGATTTTCATATACATTTTACTAATTTTCTTTCATCTCTGACACTTCAATTATAGAGAAAGAGCAAATAGCAGTATTAAAATATTTCCTCTAATTAATTCCCTTTTAATGTGCATGAATTTTGTGCACGAGGCCACTAGTTTGAAGAAATAATGACAGAAAACTTCCCCTACCTGGTGAAAGAAATAGACTTCCAAGTCCAGGAAGCACAAAGAGTTCCAAACAAGAGGAACCCAAAGAGGACCACACCAAGAGACATCATCATTAAAATGCCAAGGCCAAAAGACAAAGAGAGAATCTTAAAAGCAGCAAGAGAAAAGCAGTTAGTTATCTACAAGGTAATGGCCCTAGGACTGTCAGCTGATTTCTCAACAGAAACTATGCAGGCCAGAAGAGAATGGCAGGAAATATTCAAAGTGATGAATAACAAGGACCTACAACCAGATTACTCTACCCAGAAAAGCTATTTAGAATTGAAGGTCAGATAAAGAGCTTCACAGACAAGAAAAAGCTAAAGTTCATCACCACCAAACCTGTATTATATGAAATGCTGAAGGGTATTCTTTAAGAAGAGGAAGAAAAGGAAAAGATAAAAAATATGAACCAAAAAATGGCAACAAATACATATCTATCAACAATTGCATCTAAAAATCAAAATAAACAAATAAGAAATCTAATGAACAGAATAAATTGGTGAATAAAATAGAATCAGAGGCATGGAAATGGAACAGACTAAGGATTCTCAGAAGGAAAGGAGGAGGGGGAGTTGAGAAAAGATTAAACAAATATCGTATATACATATATGCTTTAACTATGGACACAGACAATAGGGTGGGGAAGGCCTGGGTCAGGGGGCGTGAACTGGGTGAAGGGGGGCAATGGGGAAAAAAAAGAGGGACATCTGTAATAATCTCAACAATAAAGATTAAAAAATAAAAAATAAAGAGAATGTTGTACATAGGTGGATTGGGTATAATAGAATTGGTACCATATAACTAATACAGATTAGTTCTTTTACATTAAGTGTCACATACAGAATAAACTCTATTGTGTGACTCTAAAGTTAATGTCTTAGTTCTAATATGATATGCTGCTTCTATTCTTAAAGAAGGCTTCTTTCTTAGGACTTCAATCCTGTCCTATAACAGGACAAGAACTGTTCATTATATTAACAAGGGATACTTAAGACCTCTCTGGAAGAGAACAATATTTTATAATTTCTCATTTCTCATTATATCATTCCATGTTCTATAACATAGTCAACCCACAGTGTTTCTACAGTGTTAGTTCAAAAATGGCATGACTGCCACAATCCAATTGATGAGGTCTTGTTATAACACATGCATCAGTTATATTATGTACCTTATATTTGATAACAATAAGACTTAACTCTGACATATGCCTATATTAACAATGAAATATCTCTATAATCATTAGTTTTTTGCATCCATGATGATTTAATATCATCTGCAGCCAGTTATTTGACCCAGGCTAGTGGTTTTTAAACTTGAGCTTGCATCCAAATCTCATGTAGGGCTCCCTTCAAAACACACAGATTACTGAACCTGACTCTCAGAGGTTTTGATTCAGTAGATGTGGGTTGCAGCCCTTAAAATGTGGATTTCTAACAAGTTCCCAGATGCTGCTGCTGGTCTGGAGACCACACTATTAAGAATGGCTGGCCCATGCCAGGTTTCAAAAAACTGTTTCTGTAAATAATCAGGTAAATATTTTTGACTTTGTGGGCCAGGTAGTCTGTGTCACAAGTACTGAACTCTTCCTTTGTAGTGCAAAAGCAGCCATACACAATACCTAAGTAAATAGGAGATGGCTGTGTTTCAGTAAGATTTTATTTATAGAAACAGGTATCAGGCTGGATTTATTCAATAGATCAGTTGATCAATCTCTGGCCTAGACCAACTCAGTACAAGAGGCTTGAAAAATTACTTTGTATACATTAAATAGTAACTCTATAAGAATCAATACAGATTTAATTACAAAAATCTCCTCTAAATTTTTAAAGAAAATCTGCAGAACTATACCAGATACTAAGTTGATTGTGATAAACTAGCATAAAGGAAAAACCCCAAGGCTTTCTTATGTACCCAGTAAAAGATGCAAGACCCTACATCTTATAGTTTTTGTTTTAAGATACCCATGAACTCAATCTTCATTTTGAAATTTTAGTTTTAATTAGATATTGTTTCTAGTGTTAAAGCTAAATCTACCAATTAAAGTAAAACTAACATTACATTGAATGATATAAACACCAACCAAACTAGGATGTCCATTGACTTTATAATAAAACAGAACAAAGCAAAAACACTCAACTTGCCAGATTTAATGTAGTTGGTCTTTACTTGGAACAGTGTACTTCAAACTAATTTAAAATGCCAGTGTAATCTTAAAAGTCTACTAAACTGTACCTGCCAATGAACCCACTGCATTAGCTCTATCCTTATAAAATGTAAGTTCCTGGAAAAGGGCAGAATTGAGATGTTATCATAATGGAATGTGATTTACTTCCCTGAAAATAATTATATTCAAATACCATGAAGGAAGTTAGTACTAAGGGTCATTTTAGAAACTTAAAATGCAAATAACATGTCAATCATTTAAAAAAATACTAATGACTAGAAACATTTAAATTAAACCTCTCCTGACAAGTATATACACTAATATGCAATAATATGAAGATAGAATAAAATGAGTTTATGGTGAGATACACACCTTCTATCTTCCAAAATATTTTCCTAAATGGGATTAAATCAAATATTTTTCTCTGTTAAATGGGCTTATATTTACCACTAGATATTTATTCTTTAGTCTAATGTAGTGGTTTTCATAGTCCTCAGGTGTTTTGTTTTGCTGTTTTTTTTTAAATGTTGAAAAAGCATTGTGGTCAAAGGAAACTAGAGGATGTTAATTTTAAACACATTTCAAAATGATTTTTAACTTCAAGACTCATGAGAAACATTAATATTCATGACATGACTATCTAAGAAAAATGTGGTGGATTGTGCAGCCTTTTCCAATCTCTTTGGAAACCCAATTATCAGTACAGCATCTTAACAATGGTCTTTTAGGGTTTGAATCCATGTACTGTATGGTAATATGTTTTAAAAAAATAAATTCAATTTGATGCAATAAATACTTATTAAGTACCTCTATTTTTAAAAATTATTTAAAGGTTAACCCTTTAGTTTTACAATGCTACTCACCAAAATCTATCTATAGTATAGTTAATCCTATTAAAATACTTACACTCCTCTTCAGGCCTCTTCCGAAGTGCTGCACGAACTTCTTTACAAGGACTTCTCTGATACTGTGGGGGATTCCTTCCCCTTAGTAGGCTCTCCATCCTATAAAAAAGAATCAAAAAGTATATTAATATAGAAATCTTGATAAATTTTGAGAAGGTAAATGGTTTAAATCGAGAGTCAAGACTCCAAGTATCTACACAGGCTTGTTAGACAACATCATTGAGTATGTAGCAAGGAATAATATAATAGGGAGTGGCCAAAACCGGTTTGGCTCAGTGGATAGAGCGTCGGCCTGCAGACTGAAGGGTCCCAGGTTCGATTCCGGTCAAGGGCATGTACCTGGGTTGCGAGCACATCCCCAGTGGGAGATGTGCAGGAGGCAGCTGATCGATGTTTCTTTCTCATCGATGTTTCTGACTCTCTATCTCTCTCCCTTCTTCTCTGTAAAAAAATCAATAAAATATATTTAAAAAAATATATATATATAATAGGGAGTGGCAAAGACTGTGGTAAACTGAAAAGTGCTTGACTTTTCTAAGACATTCCAATTTAAAAAATGTAAAAATACCATGTGGACACTGATATGCAATTCTCAGATTAGAGACTGATATGGACTGAATGTTTGTGCCCTCAATCACAAATTCATGTTAAACCCCTAAGCCCCAATGTGATGGTATTTGGAGGTGGGACCATTGGGAGATAATTAAGTTTAGATGGACATCATGATAGAATTAGTGTCCTTAGAGGAACAGAAAGAGAGACCAGAGGTTGGCGTCTCTCTCTTTCTCTGTCTCTCTCTCTCTGTCTCTCTCTTTCTTTTTCCCTCTCTCGTGAGAAGGTAGTCATCTAAAAATCAGGAAGAGGTCTCTCACCAGGAAATTAATCTGCCGGAACCTTGATTTCAGGTTTCTCAGATTCCAGAACTGTGAGAAATAAATTTCTATGGTGTAAGCTACCCAGTATGTGGCATTTTGTTATAGCAGCCCAGATGACTAAGGCAGAGACCTACTGACTACAGTGATTACTTGTATAGAAAAGAAATTTATCAAAAATAGGTCACCCTTTAGAAAAAAAAAGAAGATATCTCTCACCAACATTTGGAATATCAATTTCAAGAGAGGAATTGTTGCTTTTCGTTCATGATAATGGCTAAATTGAGAGGGGTTTTCTAATTCTAATAATTGTGACTTCTTGAAAAAGTCAGTTAATATAAAGTGTTCTTCTCAGTTACAGGTGACATAGCAATGCTGGAATCCAGAATATAATAATAAATGCATCAGATGCACCTTGGCTTAGCATATTTAACATGTACTTTGTGATCATTAAGTAAACTTTATAGTTTTGTACTACCGATGTATACTCATTTTAATAAAAGTAAAAAACTACTGAGTCTCAGGATTTGAAAATTCAGAACAAAACCATAATATTTATTTGTCATTTTGAAAATATAAGTATAGCTTCTTAACATCTACCTAATTATCCTAATGGAATATCACTGGATTTGATAACTGTGCTGGTTGATTGCATGCATACATTTGAAAACCAGATAGTTGTTATGGGTAATGGTGATGGTGGATATTCTAGGGTAGTGGTACAGATGATTGTGTTTCTGGCATCCAGAGAGAAAAATTAGGACAGGATGATCCCATAAAAGCATTAACTAAATAGTGTAAAATATGATATGAATAACCTTTTGTACTGTAACATAACACCATTTCTTTGGGAAACAGTCACTGGTTCTTAAAAACACTTTTTCAAATATACTTCCTGAAATCAGTCCATTTATATGTAGAAGATGCTGAATGTGTTTGCGTGTGTGTGTTCATATGTTCATGCCTGTGTATAAGCAGTTCAAGAGAATGTTTCTCAATGTGCAATGATAACTTGAACCTTAGTTTCATTTGAAACTCATTTCAAGTGAAAAAAAAAGTTATTTCTCTCGAGGTTATAACAATACAATAATGTGAAACCAAGTGAAAACCTGAATTGTTTATGATATAATTTGGGGAGGAAATTAAGTTTCCAGGCCTGTCCCTGCAGTTTCACGAAGAGGCTTAGCTATATAAACTATACTATATAAACTTTCTAGTTTTTGACTCTTGAATTAATTCAATGTACATTTTTTAAATATATTTTATTGATGTTTTACAGAGAGGAAGGGAGAAGGATAGAGAGTTAGAAACATCGATGAGAGAGAAACATCGATCAGCTGCCTCCTGCACACCCCCTACTGGGATATGCCTGCAACCAAGGTACATGACCTTGACCACAATTGAACCTGGGACCCTTCAGTCCGCAGGCCGACGCTCTATCCACTGAGCCAAACAGGCTAGGGCTCAATGTACAGTTTTCTCTACATTTCAGTAAATAACGGATTTCCATGATGAGCCAATAATAACTTAAGTGAACTAATAATTATTCACTAGTATTTATAAGCTCAAAATCATAAAAGGCAGCAAACATGACCTGTACATGCAAATGTCTATATATAATTGTGATGTAATTTTAGAAACCACTTTTAGTCATCGTGACTACCCTCTGATGAAGAATGGTAACATACTATCCTGGTTGGAAATCTATGTAAACCACTCTGTTGGATGAGCTATTCTTTCTCCTTTTATATCTCTGACAATTAGTATGTGAAAACAAAAGTGGTCTAGTTAATGTCCATCTACCTATGTTTGAGGATAAGTCAGAATAAATGAAATACAAGTTATAAAATACTAATAGGACTTCAGAACAATTTCATTATGTGTGATATTGGCAGCAAAGATCCCCAACTCAACTCCCCAGATGCCCAAACGTTGCTCTTTGGAATGCTCACAAGCAGATCTACAGATATGCAAGGTTAGATATGGAGCACAGCCTAAGTGGGCCTAGGTTCTGTAATAAGAGAAGTAGGTTCAAATTCTAATTCTGTCTTTAAAGAATGACGTCAGGAAAAAAATACGTGCTGTGTGCCTTAATTTTCTCATAAGTAAATGGGGATAACAGCCACCTTATAGGATTGTTGTGAAGACTAAATATGTTAATACATGGCCTGGCTGGTGGGCTCAGTGGTTGAGCATTGACTCATGCACCAAGAGGACTCTGATTCCCAGCCAGGGAACATGCCTGGGTTGTGGGCTCGATACCCAGTAGGGGGTGTGCAGGAGGCAGCAGATCAATATGATAGTCTCTCCATCTTCCATCCTCTCTAAAATCAATAAAAACATATTTTTAAAAAATGTTAATATATGTAAAATGATTTACATGTGTCTGTCACAATTCAAGAGCTCAGCACATGTTGCTATTATTAATGAGAATTATCCCAAATAAAAATAAAATAAGATACTAAAATTTTAAATGTATAGTATGTTAGGAAACATGAAAATTGGGCTTTAATTAATAAAGAATTATAATGACTAATCATTGAATCATAAAAATAATTCCACTAGGAGACTGAATAGTTGAAATGCCACTATGCACTGTATAATTTACTTGTGATGAAGTTCTTATTAAACATAATATCTATGTTAACAAATATATGTGTGTTGATCTGTTAATTACATGTTGATTTTTGATCAATTAGCTATTTTCATTGAAATATTTGCTTCTATCCATGCCATTTTACATTTTTGAGAACCACCAAAACAAAAACGAGGGCCAAAAAAACTCACTATAAACTATATATACCACATACTAATAGAGGAAAATATTTTAAAACAGCATTACATGTCCTTTTTCTCTGGAATGCTAAATGTTATGCCCAGTAGAAAACACTCTGAATCAAATTAAAAGTTTTACAGAGCAATATTTATGTCTAAACTACTATATAACCGTGGGACTTCCATCTTCCTGAGACTACACGTCCAGCCGCTTGAACCCTTCTACTGGTGTCATCTATGATGTACAGTTTGCATTAAATGGTCAGACAAAATAACCAACCACCAAGTCTTGGAGCACAGCCAGGACACAGCAAAGGAGCTATTCTAGCTACTCTCAAGTTTGGCAAGACATCAGCAGGAGTGTGTTAACAGCTCCAGCAAGGAGAGATGAAGTGTGACGACCACGGGCAAAACAGATGCTCTAACAGCTCATTGAAGAGCTCTGAAAAGTGCAGCCTACATGTCAACTGCTGGGAAGAAATAGAGGCAGCCAGAATGATATTTAAAAAGCATAGAAAAACAAAGAGATTATGAACAAAGGTGTCCACAACTTTCCTAAATTGAATTAGGAAAAATTCACAAAAATCACCTGAGGGGCTTTAAACAAATACAGCTCCCACCATTTCCAACACTAAAGGTTTTCATTCAGGATTTTGGGATCAGGACAAGGTAGATGTATTTTTTAACATTAATCAAGTGTGTCTAATATAGCCTTACACTGACATTTGGAACCCATGTGAATAAAGCATATACACTTGCAGGTGTAGGAGAGGGAAGTTCAATTAATGCATTCCAGGAGATAGTCATATGCTGATACAGAGATGAGGTAAGAATCTGGGTTGGAGACTGCAGTTAGAACAGGTATTATAAAAAATGAAAAGAGTAGCCAGAATGGTATAGTTAAAGCCTTGCCAAATTGCCTGGAGGTCAACCAAATGAACCTGAAGGCTGCCCATTTACAAGGTTGATAATCTCAACAGTGAAATACTTTCCTTCAGTAAGGTTTGTGGGATAAGAGAACAAGTTGGATTGATATGGAATTATGGATTGGGTTGAGGATGAATAGAGAAAGTAAAGTTTAGGTGAAAATATGGTTGAAATGGATTTATACTAGATGGAGAAGGAAGACAGAGAATGACAGAGTCACTAGGAGATAGGGAGTTGGATTAAAAGAATAGACATATCAGAAATAAGTAGTATTTCTAAAATGTCTATTATGTGCCAGCTGCTATGCTAGGTTCTTTATATATATACTAGTGTCCCAGTGCATGGATTTGTGCACATTGAAGGGAAATTAATTAGAAGAAATATTTGTACGGTAATTATGTTACTGCAAAAAATTACATAACATTATATAATATAGTATTATAAAATTAAAACATGTGTGCAATTGGCACCAGTGAGAGCTTTATATGTGTCACACATGCACAAGTCAACATTTATTTTTAAATT